TCCTGGAGCGCTACTCGCTGATGTCCTCTGCAATCAGAGAAGTGCCTCCAGGAGAAGCAGTGTTCAACTTGAGAAAATTTGGCCAAATCTTTGACCAGGATTCACTGCAGCTCAGACAATGTGTGGTCAGTCCACGGGGGTCCGCACAGAAAACACTTCTGTGGTAAGTTTTATTTCTGAGTGTCTGTACACACGAAATGCCAGAGTTTACATTTGAAGACACCCCCCCCACACACAAAATCTGATCGTAGTATTAATTTTTCCCTGTGCAAAAATCTTTATTAATGTGATGATGCCCAAACCTTTTTTGCGAAGCAAAACTTGCTTGCTGTAATAAAACAAAAAAAAAAGTACATTAAACTAACTTTTTAACAACATTAAAAACGAGCCATAAAAAGGTAGTTGCATATTGCCCACTGTAATTAATAGAAAGATGCTGGAAAAAAACATTGATCACAAAATGATTTCGCAGATTTTTTTATTTACACTTTATTTATACAGGAAGTCTCATTGAGTCACGAGAACTCCTTTTCCAGAGAGACCTGTTTGGGAGCAGATGATGGGGGTTAAGGGCCTTGGTCAACAGCCCAGAGTGGGGCAAATGTGGGTGGAGGCAGGTGTGGGCCTTTCACCTTTTCCACCCACATTTTGATGTTGTCTATCGGGAGTTGAACCTGTGACTTTTCGATCACAGGCCCATCTTCTCTAACCTCTGATCCACCACTTCCCCAATAAGATAATTTTGCTTATCTATATAAATAAAACATTTCAAGTGAATTAATAAATTGAAAAGTTTTCAGCACTGAATTCATGACATGAAGGAAGTCCTCTGGGTTATTGGTGTTTATACACATGAGTAGAGACAGTGGACTCTAACTGACTCAGTATGGACATGGACAGTAGGGACGTGCGATATGGCATAAAATTCATATCCCGATATCTATTGTGATGGGTGGCAGTAACAATATATATCATGTGTTTTGGGTATAAAACTTGCAGTAGGAATGAAAAAAATCATACGGTGTTCTTTTGCCATCATTTATTTTGAAAACTGCTATACCACAAAATAATTTCAATCAAGAAAATTCCACTACTAAGTCCAGGGAGTGTTTAAATAAAAAAACAAATATGTATTAGGCTTCTTTCTTGTAGTACAAAACAGTGCAAAAGATATCAAATGTAGTTTTAGCCATATGTTTTAAACAAAATAATATGTTGCTAATTCTTAACAGTTTCCAGTCTTCTCACTTAAGAAATGAACAGCAACAGAGCAGCAGTTTACATATAAACAAGTGCAATCTGTAGTGAGGTGTGGAGCTGAAAAAGTTTATTTATAATTTACCTTTTATCTATTTAAGATGGCACTTTCCTGCTCTCAGGTGCATGAACATTGAATTTTAAATGAATGTTGTAAGTTTCCTCTTGCAAAGTCCTAAAGTTGCTCCTTTCTTTTGTACAACACTTTTGTAATGTCTAATATGCTTCTAATACGTTTTGAAATAAACATGCTGACCGAGTCGTGCTTCTCAATCTCATTGTGCCGGGTTTAAAGTTGCTTTTGCAGTGCTCAATTTATTAGAGCATCTTACTTTTCCATAGATGGTAAAAAAAAAAGCACATTTTCAATATTCAATACAGGATTAAGCATATCATCAGATTCTGCCGCTTTTTGTACTGAAGAGTCCTAATTGTGTATTTCCCATCATTTGATTTTGAGATTGCAACGTGAGCTTTTGCAAACACATTCATGCTTCTAAGGGAATGAGCAGCATGAACTTTGGGCGGTGTGTTTCTTATTTGTTTCTCCTCTTTTGTGCTCCTGATTCTTACCAGGTCCAGTCCCGCTCAGCTGGAACTTCATGTAAATATTGGTTTGTTCCAAACAGCTTACGACCATAACTCCCCTTGTCCCTCTCAGGTCTCTCGTTTTCTCTTTAAGGTATGCCCAGCACACCTGCGTACTATGTTGTAAGTAGGTCGTCAAAAGAAAAAGTAGAAACTCGGATACTAATCGATACTAAACATGTACTATCTGATGAGATGCCTGTTCATGACAGAACCAATACAGTTGAATTTATCTCTTCTCCATTTGTTACATAAATTCCCACAGCAGCATTAGAGACTCAACTCCTCACTTACCTTTGAACGCATGACCGTTACTTGACGTTAACGCGAGTGGAGCTGTGGGGGAAACTCGCGTGGTTATTCAGCCACAAACTTTAAAAACAAAACATTTATTAAACTCAATAACAGCATGACACAAAGCGTCAAGTGTCCATAGTGTTGACAGCAGCATTTAAGATCATCTCAAAAAATGGTTTATAACATCCAACGTTCACTACAGTCATAGTCCACTTTTAATAATTACATATAAAATACTCAATTTGGTCATTTTTATAGTTTCTTAACGTGTAACCTAACTATTTCTTAGTAATCTAGTTGGGATGGAGAAAAATGCTTTAATTTGGTCAGTTTAGATAGTGTTTCCAGAATTATTAGATGGTAACAGTCGCTTTTATTAAAAAAATTAATAAATAAAACTTTGATTGTTCATGTTAATGCTTGTTTTTCATTGAAAAACGTTTTAATATAAAGTCTGAAATTCTCATTCTGTGGTGGCTCTCATTATTCATCACTTTGTTGTTCATGTATTTATGAGCTTTATCGTCTCTTGATCTTGTCAGATGATGTCAGTCCATAACGAGAGGCTGGTCTCTGAAAAGATCCTACAAGCCCTCTGTGACATCGCCTGTTCTGCTGCTTATCAGACAGGTCAGCACGTCCTGCCGCAAGCCTTTCTTTGTTTTGTTTCTGAAGAATGTATCTTTTTAATCCGTTTTTTTTTTTTTTTTTTCTGTATGTACTTCCTCAGTCAACAATGAGAGTCAGCAGTTTGAAGTGTGGGTCCCTACTTTGGCGGATGTCACTCTTGTTCTCATGAATATGGGTGTTGCATTTGTTACACTCTTCCCCTTTGAGAATCTGCAGCCATCGTTCACAGAGGGAGACCTGCTGTGAGTAGCTTAGCCCTGTGCACGTCATATATATACTGTATTTTGTTGCCTTCTATATCAAAAATGTAAGCTGTGCGCTGTATGTATGTATATATATATATAATTTTATTTATTTATTGTAAAGGGAGAATGTCTATATAAAAAGTGAGAGTCCCTCCAATAACAATAAAGAGATGACCTTCCCTGACCACAACTGCTGCAGCATTTTAAAGGTGAGACTCTAGAAACTATGGGTCTAATACATGAAGCACCCATGGTTTGCTTTGTTTTAGTTTGACATTTAATTTATTTAATAAAAAGTCATTTTTTTAATGTATTCACTAAATGCATTTTTTTGTTGTTGAGGAACTTGTTGAGTTTTTCCACAAGATATTTTCTTCTGATCTGCTCTAAGTATAATTAAATGTTTTTACAGAAGTAAAATTTCTTATATAAAAAAAAATTTGTCTGAAGATGTCATAGCAATTAATGTTTTTACTATTGTCATAGAGTACGGGAAAAAAATCCAAATCCGCTGAATTGGTCTGAGGGGGAAAATGTTCTTAAGGAATACAATTAATATAAACATTCCACAGCATATTTGTTTAAATATCTCGCTTACTGTGCATTCACTGATCGTTGAGTCTTTTTTATCAATTCACTAACCATCATGTTTATGGACATTTGAGTCCAAAGGGTTTACAGCTCATTTCTCCAAGGTGTTTAGTTTTCTAATCTTTCATCGCTTGCAGTAAAGAAGTATAAATGTGCGCTGGTCTCAGCATTTAAATGTAGGCAATAACTATTTTGGAGAGAATGATAGACTGAAACTTGTGTTGCGATGCACCACACATCTTACATGTGAACGTGAAATCCTTCACCTCCAATTAAGTATAGAAGTCCTGCTGCATAAAACTAGATCTAACATTAAGTTATAAATTGGAAAAGCACAAATGAAATTCACGAAGTGAATCAAATGACATTGAGGAAAAATTTTTATTCAACTTTCATCACTTGAGATGCAAAGACATTCTTTTTTTTTTCTGCTGAAGTGATCTGATAAGTGTTTTCTTAAGAATGTATTTTTTCTTGTCTCTTGTTTGTAGTACCTGTCATTCTGTATGGACCTGTGCCCTCGTGTGTACAGCGATGAGGAGCTCCTGCTGTTGCTAACTGTTGTGGGAAGGATCAGCCTGGAAACCCAATGGATCCTCCAGTCGAGGGTGGAAGTGAGGTGTCTTCAGTTTAAAATCATCAAAAACATCAGGGACTGGAAGACCATGGTCAGTGCAAACTGTTTTGATTCTTTGGATTTACTGAAATCGTAACGTAAATGCAACAAACATTTTTAACTTCAAAGCAAAATAAAAAAGTCCTGCTTTAAGTTTGACAATTCATATATAATGTAATGTGATGGGATATTTTCTGGGTTCGCATGAGGTTTTTATGAAGTCACCTCTCTTTGTATTTGTAGCTCCCCAGAATGTGCCAGGCCCTCACAGATTTGACAAATGATCACCACAACATGTGCCTGCTGGTTCAGCTCCTGCCTGACAACACCCGTGGAAGGTTAATTAAAAAAAGTTTGTTTGTTTGCATAGTCACACAAAATGAGCAAATGAAAAAAGAAATAAGAAAAGAAGCAAAAATTTTAATGAGAATAAAACTGGAGGGATTATAGTATAATCAGATAGAATAAAGGGTAAAATAATTTTATTAACTATAGGAAATTTAATTGAAAAATAATTTATCATTAGACGGGTGAACAGACATGTAACACATATACAAGCTAAATTAAATTAAGTATATAAAAATGCTTACATTGTTTCAGTTTGTTCTTGTTTTAATGTAGTTAGTAGAGATTTTCTGTTATTTCTATGCGGTTTATCTTTTTTATTTGCCTGGACAGACGTCTTCGCAGACATCTAAGCGTGTCCTTCATCTCCAAGTTGTTAGACGGTACTTGCACATACAAACCTACTGAGGAAGAGCTTCAGGTAATTTGTTCTATTTCAAATCTAAACTTGTTGCGTCCATTTTGAAAAGTGTTACTTTGATGAAGTTGAAAGTTTCCGTTGTCTGTGGCTGCTCAGCTTGCAGAGTTGAGGCCGTATCTTCCCCGAATGCAACCTTCTGCTCTTCAAGGCCTGCATCAGATGGACAAAGATGCCTCTTTAGACCAACAGGTGAGGAATCAAGTTAAGGACTTGTATTTATTATTTTTTTTCTAATCATGAAGTTTGATTTTGGGCTTATTATATGTAATATCGAAAAGAACTTTAATATTTTCTTTTATGCTAATTTTTTTTATTACGTTCCAGGCGTACTACCTGTGCTATAGCCTTTTGATGCTGACAAATGAAGCATCTAATTTTCAGGTCTTCCCACCTTGTCAGAAGGTAAATTCTCTTTGCCTGTTCTTTCTTATTCTCAATGTTTGTGGAGAATGAGTTCAGAAAGGAGTTTACGATCAGAATCTCATTCTGTAAGAGTTAACTATTTTCTGTCTTTAGGCACAGCTGATTACTTTATCATCTGAGCTGGAAACACATGTTAAATGTGACATCAGAGAGAGTGAGAAATGTCTTTATCGCAGCAAGGTGGGTTTAATATAATGTCTAAAAAGCTTCAGGATACACCACATCATGTTGTGCTAATCAGTATACATAAAAACATTTCCACACTAGATAAAATTCTGTTAAATTCTAGCACATAAAACAAGATCTTTCACTTCATCTACGGACAATTCTCACATTCACTGCTGATTGTCACGTTAGAAGCTGCATCACACATAACTTTTAAGTCCTACTTTTAGGGTTACAGTATTCATATTTACATTAAACTATAATTTTAACGTTATTTAAGGAGAAAAATGGGGATTGTGCCTTAATTATTTTATTGCAGGCAAGACCATGCAGAAAGTACGAACGGTACAATTATTTTTATTGAGTAATTTTAATCTGTTCGAGTTCAATAAATGTGTCAATTTAAAAGTGGTGTGCGTAATCCAGTCAAGTCAACTTGTTGCAGAATCTACAGAAAAGCATCAAGAAGGTCATTCAGACACTTCTATTTCCTACATATTTATACACTTATCCTCATATAAAAGTCCTCATTCATGTTGTCAGCTTTAGTTATTTGATCGTGAACAGCTTGTTGATGTTGGGCCCTGAAATGATTAGAACGGTGAGTACCGTGTGTTTCATCCTTATCACACCTACCTCCACAGTTAACAGACTGGAGACCTGTCTTGTCTCTCTTGTTTGACCAGTTTGTCCAATAAGTTTATGAACAAAAACTAACGAGCGTTCAGTTTAAAAAAAAATCTTAATGAAGCATCTGTTAAAAATGTATAATTCTAATGTTTTTTTTGTTCATTCCCTCATAAATACTGTCCTTAATTAAACTCTAATTAAGCTCATTTGAATTATTTTTGTTAATAACTAGTCAGCATTAAATGCCATTTCAATCAGTGTAACTTTACTGTCCATAACATTTCATGAGATGAAGACTTGATCTTTGACATCTGGCTCATACATACAAAAACAGCATGTTAAAAGTGCCATAAAACTTTTAACAAGCTTTGCTAACGCAATAAAAAGCTTTTCTAAAATACATGATACATTAAAAATATAAAAACCTCCCAGCAGACAATGGTTTGTCATGTGAGGATACATTTAAATACAACCCTATTGAGGACACTCGCAGCAGAGGGAACAAATGACTTGTTGTACCCATTTTTCTTTACTAGAGGAACCACCAATTAATCAGTCAACTTTATTTCTATAGCCCATTTTAGAAACCGCAGGGGTAGCCAATGTGATGTACAATGAGATTAAAAAAATAAAAACATAAAACGCATGCACAAAGAAACATACACAAACCAGTTTCACAGCAGGTGTGTTTTAAGATGCCATAAAAGATAAGATCACGTGTTAAAAGCCAAATAATAAAAGTGTGTTTTTAAAAGAGATTTAAAAACAGGAAGAGAGGAGGCCTGTCTGACGCTCAAGGGTAAGTTGTTCCACAACCTGGGAGCAACAACAGCAAAAGTGCTGTCACCCCTGAGCTTCAGCCTCGTTTTAGGGACTGTCAGCAGCAACCGATCTTCCAGTCTTCTGCCAGATGGTACCAACCTGAATGGTTGCAGTGGATGAGTTGTATCATTGTAAACCTGTATTGTCTTTTTTTTTTTTTTTTAATAAAGCCTGACTGTACAGGTCTGGACGTTGCATTTGTTCATGACCAATGATTTTACTACCTAGTTTGACCACCCGGGACAATTTGTTCAATTTGCCTTTGGCTAAGAGGTTCCCATACCATGAGACAATATTAAAACAACACTTTCAACCAGTGGCCTGTACACCAATTGCAATGTACTTTTACTTGCATTAAAACTCCATAGCTTACATAGAAGTTGGAGATGCTGTCTGGCTTTTTTGTTAATACAGTCAGTGTTGGGCTGAAAGGTCAACTTGTTATCAATTATTGTTCCGAGGTATTTAAATTCAGTCACCTGCTCTACTTCCTGCCCCTTTATAACAAGGTCTGAATACAGGTCTGGTGCTGGCTGCTCCCCATCTACCTCCCAGACAAAGCTCCTTGGTTTTACTGACTTTAAGGTCCAGAAAACTGTCATCAAACCAGTCAGAGTGCTGGTTTGAATTTAAAAATATATATTTGAATTAGCAATTTGTGGTAGTAATGTTCATGATGCCAGACATTTTCAGACGATAAAAGCATCCCTTCAGAGGAGCTAAACAATTTCTGAACAAATTGGCTATTTAACATACACTTTTTGGGTCATGAATCAGATTTTATTTGATAAACACTTTATACAGCTGAGGGTATCACAAAGGTAGAAAACAGAGAAACAAATAGACTGAGGCCTGGTACTTCCCACAGCTACGAAACTTAGATACTTTATCCAGGAGCTTTTTGTTCTATCACATTGAAATCGGATTTCTTAATTCTTTTTCAGGTAAAGGATCTGGTAGCCAGGATCTACACCAAGTGGCAGATGCTCCTTCAGAGAACCAGACCCCTCAATGTACAGTAGCAACATATTTCACATCCGTTTTACTGTTTTTGTTTTAAAGGGTCTCAGCAAAACTGTCTCGTTATGCACCGTCTTTTTCTCATTCAGGGCCAACTGTATGATTATTGGCAGCCTGTGGAGACATTTAGAAGCAGCCAAGAGGATGGGGAGGTCACCTTAATTCAAATTGAAGATGACGATGAAGGAGAAACCACTTTAACTAATAAGAATGAGGTTATAATAGTTTCTGAGAATGAAGAAGAGAAAAAAGACGTGATAATGGAAGCTGCAGAAGACATGGGTCTTAATGAAGGACATGAAGACATTGCGGCAGACGGTGCTAAGAATGACACGAGCAGAACAGAAGAGGCAACAGTGCAAGGAGCTCGTGACTTGGATCAAACAATACCTGTGATGCCGTCTCAAGCTCTGGACGAGCAAACGGATGCATACAGAACGAGTCTGCAAAATCCAGACCATGTCGACTAAGCATTGACTTTTGTGTTCTACAGATTTCTTTGCTGAGTTTTGGTGCCCATTACTGTAATGTTATGTTCAATTTGCACAATACATTTTTTTAAAGATCATAAGAGTTTATTTTGATTTTTGTTGCACAATAAAACTTTTTTCAAATAATTAAACTTTGGAGAAATAGCATCTTGTCTGTTGTACGCCTGTTTGGATTCAGTTAGCTTAATGCGAGAAAATGTTTTCCCTTGTAAAATATTTGTATGGCTTTTACCAAATACAGTACGTACTGTGAAACTTTGCAGTTTCCCATAACTTTTTCTTGCAGGAAATAAAATGTGTGGGAAAACACATTGGCAAATTTCAAAAGCAAGCCTAATGTTTTATATGGAATTATTTTATAGTTGATAACATTTTTATCTGAAACAATAAGTAAAAGGGAGTATTTATGAGGTGGCAGTGATGGGTGAGACAAAATATGTTGAGATTTTATAGGGATGTCGACCAAGGTGCAAAAGTTCATGATGTAGTGAAGGGGGGTATGAAGATATATAATCTAGAATCCAGGGCCCTTGTGTTGAAAATACTTAACTGGATGCAGATTACAGATTAGTACTTTATTCATCTTAGGGATATATTTAAGACTATTGTTAAATACAATAACTGATTGCTTTTCATTTCTGAGAACCTAACTAGTATTTTTAAACTAGAATGTATGCATATTAATGGAATCGCAGCAGATCAGTGGTGTCTTGATCCTAAGGACGCGGGTTCGAGCCCAAGTTGCGGAAGGACAAACAAATCCCCCGTGCAAGTTATCTCACCGTGACGATCCCAGTAGAAAGGAGCAGCTGGAAAAGAAACAAAAATGTATATTATTATTCAACATTCCACTTTAGCATTTTGAAACCAGGACGAGCAGCTCTAAACAGTTCCACTCCGCCCCACTTTCGCTGGGTTGCTAGGCAACGGCAGTCAGGTGACTGTCTGCAGACGGAACATGGCTGACCTGTCAGAAGACCAATGAGGAAAAGGCCAATTTTCTGCATAATCGATCTTTTTTTTTTTTTTCTTCGTTTCTGGCCACAGTAGACCGTCGTGGGCAGCGTTTGACGAAAACTATCCAAGGTAAGCGTGGGAGCGTGTCTTCTTATAGCAAACTTACCACTCCGTGTTGCTCGAAGCAGCAGTAGTCAACATTGGTGCTAAGTGCTAGCTGCTAGCCAAACAGTCCCCGCTTTTTTCCTTAAAGAACCAACAGAAAATGGGAATTATAAAAGTTTATGGGGACATGACAGGTTGCCTTTCGCAAATGTAATTGCAAAGCTAACGCTATCTTATTGTAAGCATGCTAGGAAAACTACACACAACTATGAATGCTAACTAAATGCAAGTCTAAAACAATTACAGTGACTACTGGTTGTTTGGAAGCTAGTCCCGCATAGCAGGAAATCTTTGGTTTAACTCTTAGTTGTGGTTTTAAATAACCTTCAAAAGACACGTATCTAGTTTTTGACTGTGGTGTGTAATGTCTGCTGTGAATTGTAAAGTATTTCTTACAATCTCTCGGAGTAGAACGAACAGTGGCGTAGACAGTAATTCATAACACTTAGTTAAAGGGATTTGTCGTCTGTGCTTGGTTTGTTTTACAAAAGGGGAAGTTTAAACCTTTGACCTGAGCGCTAAAGTTTTTACTGGTTGTTAAACTGGGGAGAGGCGTCCTGCTGTAAAACAAAGAAGAAGAAAAGCAGTGAAAAGGTTTTGTTTTCAACCAGCATACTCTGGTTTGGTGGCATAAATGTTGGGTAATGTTGATTTCTCTGTGATGTCAATGTTTGTTTGTGTCCCCATGTCTAAAATGGGTCTATGGAACAGCTAAATAATGTGATGTTGGGTTTTAAAAGGCTGGGTCAGTCAGCAAGACAAAAATACTTGTCTTTATATTGCTTGACTCATGAATGCCATTTAAACTAGAAGTACTACATATCAGGATTACTATGGGGTTAGTCCATGTCACAAGTTAAGAATATTCTATGCAGAGAATGATGTCACTGCATGTTTTTAAGTCTTGAGATTTGCAAATTAACGCATGACTTAACATTTTGTTAATCAAATCTGTGCTCACAAGTAGTATCTTTCATCATGTCTTGGAAAAAACAAATTAATTTGCAGGCTACAGTCAGAGGGATTCGGCTGCAGCGCCTAATTTTCTTGTTTGTTGTTCCTCTGTATTTTTAAACTACACTACAAAGCCTGTGCAACTTATTGATTTTGTTTCTAACAACAAGTGATCTGATTGCAGATGAGTGCTTTGCCACATGGAATGGCAAATGGCCCAACTAGGAATGAACACTTGGAGCATGAAGATGCTCAGATTTGGGAAAGACCATGGAGTCTTGAAGAGATACGGCAACACAGTGCCAACTGGTCTTTAGCTGCTGACTCCGGGGTAAGTTTGATGTTATCTGTAATTATGAGCGGAGAAGGTGGCAAAACTGTTGGGATTTAATCAAACTGGAGAAGCGCTGCAGAAACTCTTAAAAAGAATGTGAAATATGTGTTACAGCAACCTTGCAGCTGTCTTGTTTTCTTAACCTTTGTTTTTCTTTTGCAGCTTTTCCACTTCCTCCAAGACTTCTCCCAGAGAATGATGTCAAAAACTCATGAGATTGAAAAGCAGTTGGACAGTCTTATCTGTGACACCAAGGCCACTGACAGCCGCTTGCACTCCGTCTTCAATGACTTTCTAATGCTTTCTAATACACAGTTTATTGAAAATGTAATGTATCTTTAAAAATGTTTTTCCTTACTTAGTGTTGTATTTAACATATTTTAATCCACCCAATAACCAAATACCCTTTTTTTGTGTGTGTGTTTTGTTACAGAGAGTGTACGATGAAGAAGTGGAGGAGACCGTTCCCAAAGCTGATGCACTAGAAAAGCAACCCGAGCAGGTAAGTTAATGCTCAGAAAGTCCTCTCGCATCACTTATCGTTCCCTAATATTCCCATAACGATTAGATTTAATGTTACCTAAGGAGAAGACTCGAGAGCAGAAAGAGGCAGAGTTGATCCCCAAGATGCAGGAAGCTGTGAACTACGGTCTAAAGGTTTTAGAATCCGCGTTTGAGCATCTGGACGTCAAAGCAGGGAACTCTGACTCGGAGGACGAGGACATCACAGAACGAGTAGAGCCCATCCTGGAGCCCAAGGTGCGCTGCTGAATTTTTACAAAAGGCTATGCAAGATGCAATTATTGTGATTATGTTTTATGTATGCTAATCTGTGTGGCCATTGTTTATTCTCTTTTTAGGATCTGTATGTGGATAGGCCACTTCCTTATCTGATTGGTTCTCAAGCCTTCATGGAACAAGACGATGTAGGACTTGGTGACCTGTCAAGTGATGGTAATATTCTGTCTCAAGCCCCTTTTTTGGCTGCAGAGGCAGCAGAGCGGTGTTAATAACGCAGGTTGTATTTTTCAGAAATGTCTGTTGACAGTGACAGGGACAGTGTGATTGACAGTGAAGATGGCAAGGAAACAATTGTAAGACCATTTTGCCTTACACTTTTACAGTTTTTTAATGAGAATAGTTGAAAGATGTCTTATTTATTTCCTTTACAGCATTCGGATGAGGACTCGTATCAGGAGGAGCAGGAAGATCACAATAACATTAAAAAGGTATCTTGTTTATTTACATGGTTAGTTATCGTTGAATTTTTCATCACATGCAAAGCAAATGTGGAATTTTACTCTTTTTCCCCACTCGCTTTGATCTAGAAGTCATCCATGGTTAGTTATGAAGAAGAGGAGGAGGAGGAGGATTCTGACATATTTGGAGAATCAGACAAGGATGATGATATTGATGACTCAAAAGTTAGTATATGAACAAGTGTTTGAGTTAAAACAGTTCCTGGCAGGTTAAGCGTGAGACGTAACTTTTGCTCCAATATTTTTCTCGTCACAGCAAGCAGACACTTCATCCTTTACTAACGAGCTCACTGCTCGAATCAAAGGAGAAATCGTCAACAGGATGGAGGGAGATCGTGCGTGTAAGTATTTATCATTAATAAGCAGCTACTGTCATAGTTTTGTTTCAGTTTAAAATTCCATTCTTAAACGTCGTCGTATTCATTATTTGGCATTTCCACTAAAAATAAAAGTTGGGAATGGTTTCCATCTCTACATGCGTCATCTTATGGATATTTTGTTTTTCCCGTGTCATTGTTGTGGAAGCTTTATCATCTAAGAAGAAGAGTAAAGCCAGAAAAGAATCAAAACCTACAAATTCACAGGGTAGGGTACCCATCATCCTCATGGGACTCAACTTTTTTTTGTTAAACTGCATTAGTTCTGTATCATCAGACACTTTGTTGTCATTATCCTAATGCGGTGTATTCTGTGTGTGCTGTAACAACAGCTGAAGAGGACAGCGATGACATGTTTAAGCCTCCCAAGATGGATGATGAGGACTTCTCCCCATTTGGAGGAACAAGTGGCCTCTTCAGTGGGGGAAGAGGCCTCTTTGACGATGATGATGAGGTGCAGTAAACTCTTTGAAATCCGCATCACAAAAAAAAAAAAAAAAAACTGTGGAAGGCAGCGTTTTATTTGTGTTGATTTATGATTCAGGGAGATCTTTTCTCTGAGGCACCACAGTCTGTGGTGAAAGAGCAAAAAGCCACCAATGTACCGGTACATGTGAAAAACACAGTTCAAACAGGTAAGATCTAAAGAAATGGAAAAATTTCTTTAGAAAATAAAACAAAAGATATACATGTTTTTTTTTCTTTTTTCTACCCAGAATCTACCAAACATAATAAGATTCCATCCGGAGCTGTATCCATATTCCCAGGTAGTTGAGGGAAATTATATATATATTTTTGTTATAATTAATTTTATTTAATCTTTTGGTTGTTTTGTGATACTCAACCTAATTTTCTCGTGTCAGCTAACAGCCTTTTCAGTTCACAACGTGACTCTGGTTCAGAGGAGAGAAAGGAGAATGGCACTGCAGCTGTTGAGACCCATGCTGCCCCCAAAGAAACTCCCACAGGAGCTGTTGGTGGTGGAGGAAAAGGATTGTTTGATGATGAAGAGGAGGAAGATGATGACTTCTTCAATGATAAAAGCCTGATAAACCCTGATTCTAGTAAGAGAATTGAAAAAGGCATTTACACGCTGCACTATTAGTTGAAGTGGGATCTGTTGTTGTTGATTTGGTTGACGTGTATATGATTGTTTGATTTTTTTTATTTTTCAGTTGTACAAGAGAAACCTAAGCCTAAGACACATATTGACCTTTTTGATGATGAGGAGGAGGAGGATGGGGACATTTTCAAAGGCAGCGAATCAACTTCAACTCAGAGCAAGAAGGAGGTTGTGGAAAAACCACCTGAGAAAAAGGCAAATAGAAAATTTTAACTTTCTGCTACATATCAGATAAATAATGTAAGATTTTTGTCAAATTGTGTAGCTATATATTTTTTTATGTTCCCGTTGTACCATTTTATTATGTTTAGATGCCGCCTGGGGCCATTTCCACATTTGGTCCTGCGACTAAAAGCCTGCTGAGTGAAAGTCTGAAGAAACGCCAAGCATCCGCCAGCGAGAAATCTGAGAAATCTGGCATGGTCTGTATACACATGCGCTGTGTACACGCTCACTCCTAACAGAAAACACTCGTGTGTTTTCACTGGCATAATTGCAGATATATGGCACAAATGACTTCACTGGGCTTCAATATTCAGGTCAGCTGTTGGTTTTTAAAAGGTTTTTCTAAAGAAAAAGATTAGACATTGCATGATTTGAAATTAAAAACCGAACTCGGTTTGATTAAAAAGACAACAAATGGAGCAACCTGGTGCTCGCAAAAGAAAAACCTCGCACGAAGCCAAGTTATGTAAACAAAAGTGTTTTGAAGAGGTAGAAACGATTCAATACCGGTAATCTATAAAATACAAATAAACTAACAATTTGAATTAAGGTAAATTTTACTATCTATAGCAGGGCTATTCAACAAAGCTGCTCAGGGGACCACAGTTTTCTGAAAGCCAACAGCTCGGGGGGCCGGATATCCAGTCATTTAAAATCATGTAAATAAACCAAAGTTTACAATGATCGGTTACAGTTTAAATGTGTTTATTTTATTGCCGCCAGTTGAATAGCACTGATCTATGGTAAGTAATATTTTAAAATTCACAAATATGGTATTCAATATCATATCCTTAGTTAACACAGCATCAAAAGGCAAACTTCTATGGTTAAAATAAAATTAATCATCAGCAACAGTGAGCACAATGTGATGTTGATTTTACTCATTTTAATTAAAACCCCTAACTTTTAAACCAAAGCTTTTTATCTGGATTCCAGCTTCGTAAAGTTACTGATAAAGTAAAAAAAATGTGTTTTAATGTCTAAAACAAATAGTTGTGTCAACAGAGATGTTGTGTCCTTAAGTCTTAAGAAAGCAGCAGAAGTTCTCTTGAAACTGATGAAACCTCTGCATTTGTCATAAACCAGAAAAATGCAGTTTGGTGAACTATGTTACAGAGATTTGAATACAATATTGGAATTACAGGAATGGCTCTAAATTGGTTTGAATCACATTTATCTGATAGATTACAATTTGTAAATGTAAATAATAAATCTTTATTATACACCAAAGTTAGTCATGGAGTTCCTCAGGGTTCAGTGCTTGGACCAATACTCTTATCCATTAGTTAATGTTATTAAACAACATGAGATACATTTTCATTGTTATGTTGATGATATACACAGTTATATGCCGTGCATCTTTTTAGTAAACCATATTACAAAAGAAAGAATTCAGCATCTGAAGTTGTATATAAAGCCAAAAGTTGTAAACATTTGTTGTTTTTTGAAATCATATTGCTTCATTTCGTTTATTTTGCACAGCAAGTGTGTGTGTGTGTGTGTGTGTGTGGTGTGTGTGTGTGTGTGTTGGGGAAGGGGGGGATTTTTTATTTATATTTGCTAGTAGTTTTACGAAAGCTTATTTTTGATTTAGTCCATTTCACACAGCAGACTTGGGCTTCTTTTTACAAAGTTCACTTCTCCTTTCCCAGTGCTATTTTACATTTTCTTTCAAAAATAATTTTAACCAAGTTCAAATACAAACATCTAAAGTTTTGTTGACATGTTGTGAATTTCAGAATGGTCCTGTAGCTGATGTTGGAAAAGCTGCCGCTAAGCAAACTGAAAATCTTCAGACCAGAGGTCTCTTCTCTGATGATGAAGACTCCCAGGTCAGACTCTAAAACATTAATAATAAAAAAAAATTAAAATACAAAGATGATTAGACTTTAAATGTGTGTGTTTTCCTGCCCCAGCTATTTCCAGCCATTCCTAAAAGCCAGTCTAAACCTGAACCTACAAGCCGGGGAAAAACCAATAAAGCGCCTTCGTCGTTATTTGATGATGAGGAAGAAGAGGTGACAACTTTTTTTTGTTTGTTTATTTTTAATCAAACGAAATGGGATTTTTTGATAACCGTATATTATTGTTCCTATGTTCTTCACCTTCAGGATCTGTTTTCATCAGCAGCTGAATCTAAAGGAACAACCCCTCAGTCTAAATCTTCCATACCACAACCCGCTGCGTCCAGCTCCCTTTTCAGCGACGATGAGGTATGACGATACAAAAAATAACATTCTTGTCCTCAGCAGTGCTGCTTTCTTAGATTTGCAATGTGATGCATTGTTCTCTGGGACGACAGGACCAATGGATGGCTTCAAAAAGTAGCACAACGAAGCCAGACAGCAAGACAGGAGGGATGAAAACTAGTACCAGTGCCCCATCCAGGCTCCCGAGCACCAAACCCTCTCTAAAGAGCAGCCTGTTTGATGACGAGGAGGATGACGACCTGTTTGCTCTGCCAAAAGAGTCAAAGTACGTACAGCTTTAGAAAATTCTGTTTGTCCATACGTTTTGAATGAAATGCTCTCTGCTCAGTACTTTTCACGTTTAGCATAGGTTAGAGCTTTAAATGCTTACCAGCTCTCTTTCGTCACTCTTCATGTAGTCAGAACAAACCCCAGAAGGTTGCTCTCCTGTTTGAAGACGAGGGTGATAATGACAATGAAGGATCTCTGTTTTCCACTAAACCTGCTGTTAACATAAACAAAGAACCTCCAGCTAAAGTGAGTGTCCCAAGACATTTATAACTGTGATGATACAATTTTGGAGGATTTTGAAATTTCAAAAGAATTTACTGTAAACTATTTAACCATTCATTTACACAGACGTTTGACTGTTGCATTACTTGTATTTTTCAGGCACCTGTTGCCCCCCTTCAGTCATCCGTGCCTGAGGAAGCTGCAGCATCTAAGACCGCAGCAAAGGAGGAAGCACAGGTGCAGCAGAAACCTGTAGAAAAAACTCCTGAACAGCTCTCACCTTTGCCATCACAGGAGAGCGCCGCAAGTAAAAAGAAGCCTGCAGGAGCCGTCAGTCTCTTCGGTGGCATTGATGTTCTTAATGACAAGCAGACAAAGACCCCGCTGGATGGAACGGAACAAGATGACATCTTCCTCTCTAAGGAAAGCCCTCCACCAATACGGAAGGAGGAGGAAAAGAATGAAGCGAAGGGCAAAACAAAAACCGTTAGTCTGTTTGATGATGATGAAGAGGACGATGAATCAGATTGGAGTGATTCGGTGTTCGTGCCCAGTCAGCCTACAGCATTGACGACACAAAAGGTTTGCTTTGTAGCAGAACAAAGAATGGTGTGGGTGAAAACGGTATTATTCTGTTGCATTTAAAATGGTTAACTCTCTTCCAGTCTGCAGAGGAGAGGCCGCAGCCTAAAAGCACAGGTGTGTTCCAGGACGAAGAGTTGCTGTTCAGTCACACTCAGCAAAAGGACAATGACCCGGATGTCGACCTCTTTGCAACCTCAGGGAAAGCTGCTGTCAGTAGAAGCTTAGAATATTTATTCGTTTGTGTTTTCTTTCTTTGTAAGTTACCGTATTTTCCAGTGTATAAGTCGCAGTTAATTTTTTTTCACAGATTTGTCAGTCCTGTGACTTGTATTTTTTATTTTTTTTTCCCCATATTCATAACGCAATTTTTGACTGACGCTTTAACTTTCGAAGAACTGCAACAGCGAGTCTTCCTGTGCCCGCTCGCTTCACTCAGCTGGTGCAGGTGGAGGAACACTGGAGAGCTTGCGGTTCTGGGAGGGAGGGAGGGATGGGCTCTTTTGATCGTTTAATAAACGCGATGGGTCAGAGGTGATGCATAATAAATGCAACTTATACGCCGACACAACTTCTATATAATTTTTCCTCTTTGTGATGCTTTTTTGTGACTGATGCGACTTCTACTCCGGAGCGACTTTTACACCGAAAAATACGGTATATGTCTTATTTGACAGAATGCAGATGCTTTTGAGCAGTTTTTGAGAATAGGTTTTATTTTCCAGAGCTCAGAGGTCAACTCAGTGAAATCAATGGCACAGAGTCTGTTTTCAGATGATGAAGATGACCTTTTCAGCGTCGTCAAGCCAAAACCTCCACCTCCGGTATCAATTGATGTTTAAGGATTACAAAAAAAAAAATCAATTTCTGCTTTTGTTTTGACTGTTACAGTAGGAAACAAAAATACCGTCTTTTCCTTTTACTTTCCAGAAGGTTGCAGAGAAACCCAGCAAACTGCACGACAAAGCACCACTCGCAAGCCCAGATCCAGTGTCAGAGATTCAGGTGGGTTTACTTGATTTAATCATGGAAATCACCGTAAACACATGAACTCTGCAGCTATGTGACATGGATTTAGGAATATCGTTTTTTATTGTCTTTTTTTAAATATTGAGATTAATCAGATAGCTTGGTCAAAACAAGAAATGTTATCTATATATATATATATATAATATATATATATATATATGTATATATATATATTATATATATATATATATATTATATATATATATATATATATATATATTTATATATATATATTATATATATATATTATATATATATACATACAGGTATACTGATCCTGTTGTAATCTGATCACACAGAAACCTGCACAAAGTCCTGTAAAACCTAAAGATTTCTCATCAAGGATTGGGAAAATTCAAGTAATTTTGTCTTTTTTTTTTTTACTGAATCAAAATTGTTAAATGTTGACATTTTTCTCTAATTTCTTCTTGAGAAAATCTCTTATTTCCGCTCAAACGTGTCGTCTCTTAATCTTTTTTATTCCATTTTTAATCTTTGGCAATAAAATCATTTCAGTCATCGAATGACTGCTTGCTCCTTTTTGCAGTTTTCGTAGTTGCTCTCTTTTTGCTTTTGCACTGTTTTCACCCATCATTCTAGTTTCTCTTTCCTCTGAATATTTTTCTGTTAAAAACCACTGAAGATTTTCACACATAGGTAAGACAATGTTCATCTGGTTCTCCCCAGGGCGTCAAATTAGGAAAATACAACCCTAAGTAAGCGGTGCATGAAGTAATGTATTCATTGTTTATTTAACAAAAATCAAGTTAAAATCCAAGAGAGACATGTTGTTAACTAAATGCATCCCTCGTACTTTTAAGGAAAGTTAGCGCTTTAGTAGCAGTCAGGTGCTGATAATCAAATGCAGCTAACTATGCAACCATCAATGAAAACTGAATTTTTTGGCAGTTTGCTGGTCTGGAGCCGTTAAACGTGTTAATGCGATAATAAGGAGGAGAAATATAAACGGTGATCTTGGTCGTTTTCAAATCATTTGGAAGCAACAATTGCTTCTCTGAGTCCATTTTTACATAAATTGGAAACTAGTTCTGCTATAAACATTTATTCACTTGTGGAAACCAATGAAGGCAGTTGCTGATATGCCCAAATAAATTGATCCCAGTGTCAGATTATGCAATGCTCAAAAATTTGCTGATTAATTACGTGATGCATCTCAGACATCCACAAGGCGCAGTTCGGATATTGAATATTAAACTTTTCAGCTGTTTAATGTGAAAAAGACTAAACGAGCATGGCCTGTTTTGAAGGGTTGTTCAAAGAAAACATCTTATCTAAAAATAAAAATAAAAAGAATATATGGTACGATTGCAGAGGGTTGCAAAGTTGAATCTGAACAAAAAAAGCCCTGAAGATGATCCATGAACAGATGCAAATCAAGGTGGCCACGAAACAGAGCATCATGTTTAATAAAAAACCAAACTCGGCAAATAAGTAAAACCATTTATTAGTATACAGAACCATAGGATACTTGTATTTTTTTACAGATGGTTGATAGAGTTGGGCTTAGTTTGTGATAAATAACTAATGACTATGCAATATGAAGTGAGGGAGGATTTAAGGTTGTATTTACTTCATTTTAAGACCTGGTATGGACCAAATGAAAAATATGTTACAATGCTTTAGCTATCAGAGGTTGTACTTGTTTTTACCATGACTGTATTTTCTATCTTGATGAACAGTTATCCTGATGATTCCTCTTTCTTTTTATGTTCAGGCCAGCCTGATGATCAACCCTGCTGCTTTGCTCCCCGGTGCTGCTTCTAATATGTCTGGAACTTACAGTTCCTCCTCTGGGGTCTCCAGCTCCAGCCTGAGTCCAAGTCCTGTTTCAACCCCCGTAGGGGCTCAGGCAGAGAGTGAAGGAGGTGTGAGCTTTGAGACCCCAGTGCAGGTCACAACACTGCAGAGTGCACACAAGGTGGGTTTTAAATTCCTCCATTAGGATGCTTGGTGTTTGATGTTTCTTTCATTTCTGTTCCAAAATGAGCTCAACGTGTTGGCATGAATCTCTTACGATGCAGACTCGAGTAAAAGGTTCTTTACTTCGAAGACCCCAATCCAGAGCAGCACGGCAGCAAGCAGCTCAAACATCCATGGATGGTAAAAAAGGGGGCCTTGAAGATGTCCTTGGGCAAACTTCCAGTCCGTCTGGTTCAGAAAAACCCAGCCAAGCACATGTAGTTCCACCATCTAACTCAGCTGCACCTCCAACATTGCCAACACCCTCAGCTGTGCAGCCTTCAACCACTCCGATCTCTCCCAGACCCTCTGAACTGACTCTGCCAGTAACGAATGCTGGGAAGAGGGGCTCTAGCAAGGACAGCAGCAGTGCTAGCGCACCGCTATTATCTGATGAAGACGACCTCTTTGGCTCTGACAGTCTTTTCAAATCCGTTTCTAATAAACCCAAGTCATCCACAAAAGAAACTACCAAGACCAGTCAGCCTCACACCAGTAGTGGGAAGGGACTGAAGAAAGACAAAGAGATAAGCACACTTCCTTCTATTTTTGACGATAACACTGATGACTTTTTCCAAACTGTGAAGTCACAAGCAGCCACAAAGAAAGCTCCCAAGGTCTCATCCTTCTTAGAGGAAGATGATGATGATGACATTTTTGGACTGAATATTTCAACATCTACATCCAAAAGTAGCAAAGAAATTAAGAACGGTAGCAGTTTTTCAAATCAGGACATCTTTCAGGTAGTTTTTAATTTCTGATTTTAACACAATTGTCAAAGTTTGTGTTGTCAGGCCAGATTTAATTTCTTCTCCTTTGTGGCTGAACTGTTTTACAGGATGAAGCAACCACTGTGCCTAAAGTTCAGAAGAAGCTTAAAGAGAAGCCCATCGATGCTAGCTTGTTTGATGATAACGTAGACATTTTTGCTGACCTAACAGACACTTTAAAACCCAAACAAAAGTCCAAAACAAAGGGAGAATCTAAATCAATATTTGATGACGACAAGGGTAAGCATCTATGGATTCTATATATTTTCCAAAAGTAACTTGTGTTTACATTTATTGATCTGCCACATCTAACTAAATATTTTTTTACACCCTTTCTGTTCTTTACAGATGATATTTTTTCAACGAGCACAGTAAAACCAGCAGCAAAGGCTCCCAATAAATTAAAGAATACGCCACCATCCCAGAAGATCGATACAGCAGCAGATTCCAGCAACATATTTGATGACCCACTTAACGCTCTGGGTGGGAACTGATGTTTTGTACTGGTCAGATTTGTAATATTGTGGATTTATTCTTTTGACATTGGCAGATCATTTAAATATATTGGATAATAGAGTATTTATTGCTATAAATTCAAATCAGTACTGTGGCTTTATTTTTGGGCTGCTAAATATTCAAATGATTATGATTCGTGTCATCATCCAGCAACATTTTCATGGTCATATTGGCATCCATAATATAAATTTAGTCTTTATTATACATAACAGCACTTTATAAGCATACATTATGCTTTGCCTCGAGGCCTGCAGAAATTACCGTAAGCGTTTTTTGGGGTTTTTTTCCGAGGGGGCTTGTGAGATTTAATGTTAATGTTTGTGCCATGTAGTACTTTTTGTCCTAGTCGAGTTTTTTGTTGTTTTTAATTAAGAAGCTCATCCATTTCTTAACTTTGAGTGTGATGAAAGCAAAACTTGTTTTTTAATAACTAAAAAGAAACCTATTTTACCTGCATGGTGTCAGATTATTTCCAGAACTGTAATAAATTTGTGTCTTCTTTGCTTTGACATGATGTTAGTATGTTTATCAGACAATTATCAACAATACCATAAATTCAGATTATTTGGTACGACATTTTTCTCCCATTGCTTTGAATTTTAAAATTGGTTTTTACTCTTTGACCCTGAATAAGTTAATAATTTAAATTAAAAAAAAAACTTTATTATTATTCCAATGAAAATTATATTGACTCATTTAAACGTCATAAAAGACCAGTCAAAAACAAAAATGTACCCAAGTGACAGAAAGTAAGTCAACAATGGGGTTCATGAAAAAGTTGAGTTTAAAAAGTCTGACAGTTTTGATGTTTAAGATCAATTTTTTTTTAGTACAATATGCAGATAAGACAAGTTGGGTTGAAAGGTTAAACTTGGCAGTGCAGAAGAAGTTTTAGCCAAAGAAAGCTGAATTCTGACTTTATGATGCTCCCACCATCCTGTTTGATCCCCAGTATTTCCTCTGTGTTAAATGTATTTTATTTATTTATTTTGTTGTGTTTAGCAGCAGGTTCACTCATATTTCTACCTAAATGTCTTATTCAATTTTCTGGACTTGTCTGATTCCACCGTATTTGTTCACCTACACAGACTATGCCTAATATATATCAATCACATGACTCACGCTTCCACATTGTTTTCAGCAAAAACCCATTTTAAACAAAACACATATATGAGGTACAGACAACAATAGACAATTGTATAAAAAGCATATAAAATGAAAGGTAAGTAGAAAATAAAATATATAAAACGTGAAATAAAAACGGCTACATTATAAAGTCATGTAAAACTCTAAAAACAGGAACATGTCTGCAATGGTTTTTTTTGTTTTTGCCATGAAGTTAACAGTTGTTTTAAGTCCCTTAAAGTGGTCAAAGCCAACAACTTCATATCTTTTTGCAAGGAGTTCCAGGTTACAGGAGCGGAGTAGGAGAAGGCTCTTGCCAAGTTCAGTCCATACTGAGGGCACATGTCTTGAGAGTGCACGCTGTAGCTGCACTGACAAAGGGACATGTAGGAGGAGATGTATGAAGGCAACAGACAAAGAAGTGATTTAAAGATGAAAATGTACCAATGTGAGAGTCTGTGTGAAGTTAATGACCAGTGAATACAGGGTGCAATGATGGATACAGCCAGTTATGAGTCTTAGCGAACCATGATAGACGGCCTCCAATTTAACTTTGTTTACACTGAGTGCATACCCGCATTTTAGAATTGCATTTCAGCATATCTGGGAAACTATTGGCTCAATAAAACAGCACCGTTTCATATAGTTCAGGATAACCCTTCATACTTTACAATGAGTAGCTTTTAAACCTGCAGATTGTGAACTGTTTTATTATTTTAAAAAAAATGTGTTGCTTATCTCAGTTGCATTTATACTAGTGCCATTTCGATAAAGAAAAATTATTAAAATGTAGCCACCAATTTGTAGTGCAAATATTGACAAGTTATCTTGGTGCAGAATTGTGGCATTTTGCCCCGCCCACCTCCTCGTTCCCTATTGGTTCTTTTGTTTATCAATCAAACCGGAGTCATGAAGGTGTTGTTCGGTTGTATTTTGACAGGTACAATGATGTCTCCGGCCAGGGGGCAACGGCGGCTAACAACGGTCACCGCTTTAGTTTGTTTCTTTAGTAGTTTTTACAGTTAAATGGAATGCCGCTTAGCTTTGGTTCGTTGCCCTCTCGACGGCTGCGCAAGACTGAGAGAGCCTAAGACGTTGGATGTAGCTTAGCAGCCTGCTAGCCTGTTCTGAAAGGAAGCCATTGTTTGAGTTGTTGGCTATCATCATGGCAACGAAAGCGTCGACTAGACTGGCTTACTGGTAAGTGTGTTTTAACAAAAACACAATCAAATGCAGATATATGTTTATTAAAAAGAGCTATGTTTTGGATATTTTCGTGCTAGCTAACGCAAGACTGAAATCGCAATGACACAAGCTGAACTCCATCTCTGTTAGCTTCATGTCCTAGCCTGTAGCTTTTGCTTTGCTGCGGTCATACTTTGCTCCACGGGTTAAATACTGCCAAGAAATTTGGTGGATACAGTTGTTTATATATTTGAGAGCAAACCTTTCTTTTAGAGGTGTGGTTCTGGTTGCAGAATATCTGCATCCCCGGCCTCTTCCCAACACAGAAATCACAGAAAGTAGATTTTTTTTGTGTGTGTGTGCTTTTTTCCACACGAGTGCGTTCATCTCCTTATCTAGCTCACCTTCCATAACGGAAGAAAAATTATAAGTATCAATTTTCCCTAAAATCAACGCTATTTTGAGTAGTTTGTGTGAATTTCACCGTATGTTATGCCGTTTGTGTTTTTACTCTTATTTTTCAAGCTTTATAGTCATATGTGCTTGTAATCCCTTGTTTCTTCAAAAGGTTAATTTAAAAAAAAAGTGGTTTATTGTGGTCATAGCTGCAAGCCCTCAATCAAATTTCCCAGTATTGTAGTTAAATTGGTAAAGAGCTTTAGTAATGATTAAAATAGTGACTCTCGTGTTAATTTTCTCAGTCTGTTGATAGGAAATATATAATGTTGTTCATGAGAAATTTGCAACATCTATTTTTTTACTCTTTTGCTGTAAGTGAGAGAAAAGCATGCACCTTTGAACCATACAAACATATGAATGCATACCAAGTTGGACTAGGTTATTCATAGTACACAGTTTTTATAATTTGAAATTTACATTTGAAAATTGCATATTATTATCAACAGTATATAATTTGTATTGACCAGTTATTGCTTTAAATCATGTTTGTATTAGCCAAGGACAGGTCAAACTAGGCGTGCTTGTGGCTAATGTGTGTATGAGCCATTTCACAGATACCGCCATCTTTGTTTAGCTCAAAGAGTTGTATGACTTGATCAAGTGTGAAAATGGGTCCTGGAGATTGATGTTCTGTGTATATAAGCAGCAATGATTGCAGATTCAAGAACAAGTAAGAATATATGAAATAATGAAGACTTTTGGTAGAAGAGTACACTCAATCATCCAGGTAAATAAGTTAAATTGTGTCCAGATTACTCGATTTTAACTTTTTTGTGAAAACCTGGTAGTTGCACTGAGGTCCATGATAAATATGTTGATCAGCGATCTTGGCCATGTTTCAAATTTTTTTGCCTACAGATTATTTTGGCCACTTAATATTACAAAAGATATAAGTATGGACTACCTTAAGTAGTTATTGATTAGGCCCCTTTAAGTGTTACTTGCAATGTACTATATATACCGGTACTCTATAGCCTGTAACTGAAAGCATATAAATAGTCAGCCAACGGTATCCCTATTTGCCCCATATGAATTAAAGTGGTTATTACTTTATTTCAATAAGTGATGCTGAAAACTTGAACACATCTATACATTTGTTTGCAGTTAATTAACAATAACATACACCACGCAGGAGGTTACAGACCACAATAAAAATGCATTTACCACCATTATAGCAAAAACACACTGACCAATTAATATTTATGCCAAATATGATGTGTAACAAAGAAGGACATTTTATACTCAGCATTTCTAGATTCATAGATGGGTTTGCCTCCAGATTATATGTTGGCTTGTCATTTTCGGTTTCCCGACATACAAGTATCATAACAGCACAAGTATGTCCTATCTCAGATTAGAAATGGGTAAATCACGAACCAACAAAAACTCTTTAAGCTGTGTAACAATCCAGTTTTCAACACTTGATAACATGTCCATCATTGACTTCACTGTCTGTTACCCCCAAACAATCCCATCAACTGTTGGGTTCCATATTCGGTAGATGGCGCTAAACAAAGATGGTGGTATCACAAAATGTTGGGAAATATTGGATGTGGGCAAAAATGCTATGTCATGCATCCCTGATAAATTCAGCTAGTCTTACTTACATCAGATACTGGTGTGGATAGTCTGACCTCCTCTTCTTACAGTTTCCCTGTATATTGTGCAGCACGTTCAAGTCAGGTGGCACACAAGATGATTGGTTTAAGGCTGTGCCCAGCCTCAGGACACTTTATACCTAAGATGTGCTTATATAACACACCTGATCTTGGATTTTAGCAAAGGCCTTTGATGCTCTGCTGAATGTTTTATGAGTGCCACTGAAAACGTGCCATGATTATACAGTAGCTACAAGTGGGGGAAAAAAAGTTATTCTTTAAATCCTATTTCAAACTTTCATATTGATAGTTTTTCCATTGTCTTCCTAAATGATGTCATCCATTTCTTTGTCCATTCATTCACAGTTGCCTATAGTTGTGGGTTACGTTAAAATTCTGAACAATAACTAAAGGGGTTAACAAATCTCAAGTAAGTTTGCTGCATGAGTTCAGCTAGGGAATGCAAAACCAGCTTTTATCACTACTTCAGTTCATGCTGTTTACTCTAAACATCAAACTGTTGAGACCAGTAATTATAACTGTTTCCTTTTTCTTGTCTTATCTTGCAGCTGAGGCCATCCTACATAATGTGTGGCAGTAGTGAGGCGAGTGAACGGTCCCCCTCTTTATCATCTTGGGTCAGCCTCCTCATTTCACCATCTTCCTAAAGTCTCTTTCCCAACTGGCCAAGATGACTAACAGGAAGGAGCCACCCTTCTTCAATGACGACAGCATGGGAACCTTTCAGTATAAGCTTCCTTTTTACGACACTATGGAGCTTTTCATAGAGACCCTGACAGGGACTTGTTTTGAGCTGCGCGTGTTGCCTTTTGAAGCTGTCATTTCAGTCAAAGCAAAGATCCAGAGGCTGGAAGGTACACAGCTCACTAATGTATAGTTTGCATTTTTTAGGCTGCCGTTGGGAAAATGTGCCCATTCATTTTTACAAGCCAAATATTTGCATTGAATGTGAAGTTAATGATGTAGGAGATATCTATTGATTTCAGACCTGAGATGACGAGCAAACTGCATGCCTACATCTTGTAATAATACTTGCTTTAACGGGCAGGAGAGAGCATAAATGTGTTCTGTTAAATAGCCAGTTTCCAAAGCAGTTCTCTGTTTTTCAAGCCTCCTGTATTAACTTGTATTCTCTCCAGTTTCACCTGAAATTTATTGACCACCATTGACACTGGGCTAGTTATTGGAATTTGGTTAAATTGTCATTAGAAAAAAAGATTTTATAACAAAAACTACAAATGTTTTCATTAAGGCATGTTGAGAATCATTTCAGTACTCTCACTGCTTTAGGGAAAAAATCTGACGTCTGAGCTGAGATGAGCTCAAGCTGGTTAAATTTTAATCTCTTTTTGGCTCACTAGCTTACCACACCAAAGTGCTGCACATTATATGTATGAGCTTACTACTGTGGTGTGCTAGTTTAAAATTTAGTGTCCCCCATTTATCGCTGGGGGTCCGTACCCTGAAGCCCCGCGATAAGTGAAAAATGAACTCTGCTCTCGGCCACGCCCACTTCTCTGCTGCAGAAGGGAGATCAACAGAGGAGGAAGTTTCTCCTGCAGTGTGGGCTGCACACAGGTGCAGCAGGTGCTAAATAATTTAAAACAATTAATTTTAAATAAAAATTCCCTGCCGATCGTGCGGCTCATCCATCAATCAGCCAATTGTTTCATGTCCAATCTTGTTTTGAAAAACCACGACAGAGTGAGTCAGCAAAAAATGAACCGTGAAGTAGCGAGGGATGGTGTAAGGGACTGGGCAGCCGACTCGGGGACCCGAAGGTCCTGGGTTCGATCGACGGTCATTGCGCATCTCATGGTGTCTCTGAGCAGGACACCTTATCCCCAGTTTCTCCCCGGGTGCTTTCTATAGTTGCCCACTGCTCCACCTGGTGGTGGATGGGTTAAAAGCAGAGAGCCAATTTCACCATTGTATGGGAACGTACAATGATGACAATACATAACACATTATAATTATTGTACTTAACATGCAACTCCGTGCCCTGTAATGTAATGGCTTGTCAAAGGTCCTGTCAATCTACTGGACAGGTTTTTAGTAGATTTTTTTTTTTAATCGCTTAACTTTGAATATTTTAGTAACGTAAAAATTATATTAATAGGTTGTTCAAATTCACTTTTTTAAACTGGTATGTCAAATAAAAAAGTCAGTCTGTTTAGACTGTTAATGCTTTACATAATAAATGTGTTCTATCACCCAAAGGAGGCATTTGATACACAACAGACTGCAAAACGTGTTCAAAGTTGTTGGAGTGTGAGGCATACATTTTATTTATTTATTCATTTGTTTATTTATGAGTTGTCTGCCTCCTCATGCACTAATATTTATGGCTTACCTCCAGCATAGAGTCAGTGGTTCTACTGACTGCAGGCATCAAAAGCTATTTGACCACACATCTCTCATTCCAATCATCCAATCAATAATTTTAGAGAACCTTCTCATATAAAAGTGTTTCATCACATTATTGGTTATTTTTAAATGCAGTTGAAACATAGCGTTCCAATTATCCTAATTGCGTTAATTTATTTGTCAGACTTTATTAATTGGTAACATTCTGCTACTTTTAAGTTATGTTTTTATTGATAATTATTATTTATTTTTTTGGCTATTTTAGCTGCCAATTGCATCTATTGTGAAGTTGGCACTTTTTCAGCCAATGTGTAGTTTTGTCTTTAGCGGCAGGCATGAATCATTTATCATGTTGTATTGATACTGTTTTCCTTGTTAGATTATATTAGATGGATGGATGGATGGATGGATGGATGGATGGATGGATGGATGGATGGAAACTTAATGAATGAAATCTGAACCCGTTCTTGTGAACTTGGGTTGTTTTCTCTCCTACCTTCTCTCTGACTGCATAAAGGTATCCCTGTTGCCCAGCAGCATCTTATCTGGAACAACGTAGAGTTGGATGACGATCACTGTCTACATGACTATGGGTAAATTAATTTCTCCCAACGCATCCTGCCTTTCAAAATCACGTATTTGAGCTTGCTGTCATGGAGGAACTGACTCTGATTACATGTTGTAGAGATGTAGAGACATGTGGGTCATATTTAGAGAGCTTGCTCTTCCTCTCTTGTCATTTTCTGGGCTGCAGAAATCACCCTCCAGTGCTCCACTGGCTGCAGATGGTGGTATTGTTATGAATTTTTGTCACTTAATTTTTCACTTGAACAGCCTCTTGAGAGATCTAACCAAACCCTTCTATCACACTGCAGCATGCTTTTAAAGTTCTAGATGCAGGGCTGGGGGGAGCAGTGAAGTGCTGTTTCAGGGCCATTTCCAGTCCTATACTCGAGTTTAGCTGAATCCGAAACTATCCCTTGAAATGCTTACTGTAGATCACAGTTGAAACATCTTGCACTTAAAGTAAATGTTTCCTGAACATACTTTATACACTGGATTAATATAGCATTCATGTTTCGGGCTGCATTAAGTATTCTTTGTGTGTTTGCAGCATTGCTGAGGGCTGCACGTTGAAACTTGTCTTAGCCATGAGGGGAGGCCCAATTAACACCAGAAGGGGTAAGAAGCATACCATATGTATTTTGTTCCAAATGTATAAATATATTTATTATGAATAAACTTCATAAAGTAAGCTGTTTCTTATTTTTAATGACACAATGTCCCTCTGTTTCTCTTTTTTCAGTAACTTTGGAGGATCCTATCAAGGAAGTGGCTGAACTTATGGAGAGCACAAAAGAGGACAGTTGGGAGAAAAATCTGACAAACAAGCAGGTCACTTTCGTGGTGTATCGTGAGGGTGACCAGTTAAACTTCTTTCGAGTGGTTGATAGGGGAGATGGTACAATGACCCCTTTATCTGAGTCCTTAAGGTTTGTATAATATAAATATTTTACTGCAATTGTGTTTTGTCCCTAACGCTTAAACTATGCACAAATAAATGGAAAGAAGTGTTGTTCCTTTGTAAACACAGAATTTTAATGTTGAACTGAAATTTGAATTAGAAAACTTTGAAATGAGCTTTTTCACAACCCATGAGACCAAATAGCTGTTTTTGGCTGCTGTGTTTTTAGCGGTGGCTCAGTGCACAATGCGCATACAGAGGAGGATGGAGAGAGTTCTGCAGCTGCACAGCAGAACCTTGAGAACTCTATTACCATGACCAAAATGAAGCTGCTCAAAGCCAAGATGGAAGATATGAATCTCAACAAAAAGGTACCCTGTGACTTACTGTATATATAAACATGACCTCCACAGAATAGTTATATTTCATTTGCTTCATATTTTATTTTTAATTTATAACTTTGTAAGTGAAATGTCTGTTAAATGAAAACATTTGTTAGGAACAAACACCATACTTGCATAAATTATACTGTAAAAACATTACCGGTAATAAAGTGAGGCTATAGGCAGTTTTGTGGCTACATTCAAATATTTGTGCTTTTAACTCTGATCAGGATGGAAATTTCTAATAAAGTACCTGCATTAATTCTACATGTGCAGATTGTTGAAGTTTCCAGACTTTTAGGGTGAATTTCTTAAAGTGTACAAGAAAAGGAAAAAAAAAAAAGTTTATCAAATAAAGCCCTTCTTATCTTAATTTTTCATTCAATCTTTATTTATACAGGTTAGTCCCATTGAGCCTCTGGGATAAATTAGTAATACATATAAATACATTTCCCAACCATTTTGCTGAGTGTAAATATTCTACTCCAATCTAAAACATAGATATTTACATTTATTTGTACTTTTGTTTTGTTTTGGCTCGTAATTAACCTCTTAAATTTATGAATGAAAGAACTGTTAATTACAATGTACAGGATGAGAAAATTTAAATATGTAAAACATTTGAGGTCCTTTTTTTAATATATATTTTGACCTTCTCTGTCTTGCAGAAGACTGCAAAGGTAAAGCCGCGAGCTCCTATTGGCCCCCATCCCAGTGGCAGCTTCTTTGGGCCTTCCAGCACACGGCACCATCACCGCCTCTTTCGCTCCCTCTCACAGATCAACCAGCCTTGGCAGACAAGTGCTCCACTACCTCCAATTGTAGACAATGAATCTATAGATCCCTCTCCTCCCCCCACAGCTTCGACCTCTTCTCATTTCACAATCCCTAGACGGTCGCCTCCTTCTTTCTTGTCGCCTTCTTGCTACATGCTGCAGGAGGAGGAACCATGGGAGACGTACTCATCCTTTGCAAAAATCCTTCCTCCTCCCAAAGTGTCTCGAATGGACTTGGGCAGCAAGTTGATGAGAGACTGCGTTTATCCTCAGCTTCCACCACTGTGCAGCAGGGCCCCACCTGAACCCCCCTTTGACACAGCGGAGCCTTCAAGGGAGCTGGTCAGGCTGGGTTTATTAGAGGAGCCTGTAGGGCTTGTGGCACCGACACAGCCTGGTGCATCATTCGGGGACTTGTCAGACCCTCTAAGACTTGATGTTTCTATCCAGCATGAGGGGGGTTGTCAACCCATTGATGTCGGGACTCCGCACCAGCTGCCACACTCCCCCTCTCCAATAAGTCCCTGGACACTTGGCACAAGTGATGCACTCACCAGCAGAACTAATGAAACACAGCTTGGCACATCGGTGCATATCAGCCCTCCTTCTCCATTAACGGCCTCCACCTCCCCATCAGCTTCAACCAGACTGCTGTCTCAGCCTTTTGATTCCCCACTTTTACTGTCTAACCTACAAGCACAATCCTCAGTAAAGCCTGGCAGCACACCCCCTCATCCACCAGCCTCCATGTCATCTCATCCGCCACGCCGTCGCGGTGTTAAAGTAGAGTCACCGGGTAAACGACCAGAACTCATTTCTAAGAGAGAAGCAAGAGGCATCACCAAAATTGCAAACCAGGCCTGTAAAGAGCCACTGGGGTCTCTGAACAACGCTGAGCTCTTGGCTTCTCTCTCCACAAGAGCTCCAGACAACAGCCTTGGAGAGAGTCTGGGATTTGCACTGACTTTGCCTCCTGCTGCCTCAGGACAGGGCAGCCTTGGCTCCAGGCTGCCATCCATTTCTCCTAATAAATTTCTTCAGGATGATCCCATTCGACAAATGTCACCGTTGCGCCGAGCAGTATCATCTTACAGGGTGAGCACAAAGACTGTATGTAACTGCCATGTCTAGATGTGTGAAATATGATCATTTTGTATTTAATGTTTGTAATTTGCTCTTTAAAGAACTTTTTAGTTAGCATTTGTTATCGTATAACCACACACACACACTTTTCGTCCTTTAACTTGCAGTGTTTGACACTTCATGAACCGTGGCACACTCGGAAACTACACATATTTGGTGGCACACGTTTTCTTTTAGTTGATGTGATGTTGTTGTTTTTCTCCTTAACAGAAATAATAATGGCTGTGATTTGTATTACTCCATGTGTTAAACTTTGCTCTGTAGGTTTTATTTTTTTTTAATTGTTTGGCTCTAAAATTATCCATATTGCTTTGTTTTCAGACCAGCAACTGTCTTGTGTCGTCTGGGGGAGTCACGACGTCTTCATTTGGGGCTATAGGTAAAGATAACACACAGAAGTTGCTAAGTCTTCTTGTTAATTAATAAATCAGTTTTTAACAATAATGGGTGAAATGTACAGATACACTTTACATCCATCCATTATCTTTACCCACATCTTCCTTTCTGGGTCACGGGGGTTGCTGGTGCCTGTGTAAGAGGCGGGGTACTCCCCCTGGCTACCCTAGATGGCAGCCCTCTGCTTTACACAGAGCATTTCAGTGATCTGTGGTTGCAGGAAGAGCATCTGACATAAAAATTATTGCCAGATCTACAGCAGCCCCTGACTGCAGCGAGCCAAAGCAGCAGCCGAAAGGAAAATTAAAAAAAGACCCGTTTTAGTGGGAGCAATACATAAACAATTCTTAATTAAAATTAAGTTTAAAGCTTTTAGCTGACATATTTTTTTTTCTCAGGACTTTGCAAAAACCTGCCAGGCTGTATTATTATTATTATTATTATTATTATTATTATTGTTGTTGTTGTTGTTGTTGTTGGTACCACTTTACAATAAGGCTCCCTTTATAGATGGCTAATAAATAGTTTATAGAAATGTTATTAATTCCTCTATAAACACTTTATAAATCATTAGGAATTGTTTATTATGCATTAATTAAGGGTGACAGAGACCAAACTGACCAGTTTCTTGCCAAATAATGATCCAAATCTGTTCACCTATATATTTCATCTAGAGTTGTTATATAAAACATTTCAGACTAAGTTACTACCTTGTGAGCACAATAATCATTTATAAATTTTATTTTTAGGATATAATATTAGTTCTAGATATCTATAATGCAGTGATAAAGTACAATATTATATCCTAAAAAATAGGTTTACAAATGCTTATTGTGATTACAAGGTAGTAACTTAGTCTAAAATATTTATATAACAACTCTAGATTAAATATATAGGTGAACAAATTTGGATCACTATTTGGCAAGAAACTGGTCAGTTTTGTCTCTGTCACCCTTAATTAATGCATAATAAGCAGTTATTAATGATTTATAAAGTGTTTATTGAGGAATTAATAACATCAATAAACTATTTATTAGCCATATATAAAGGGAGCCTTATTGTAAAGTGGTACCTTGTTGATGATGTTGTTGTTGGTTGTTGTTGTTATTATTATTATTATTATTATTATTATTATTATTATTATTAGTATTATTATTACAGACCAAACAATGACAAAGAAAATCCTGTTTCCTGATTTTTGGAAATGAACCATATTAGGTTGTATCTATTCTTATGTGACAGGAAGGTTTTCTTATTTAGCTTAATTTATTTTTTTTAACTGGTTCATCTAGTTTGAACCCAATTACCAACACATGTTTACGAAAAGTATCACAAAGTCCATTTACAACCTGTTTGATTTTTCAAAGTTCAGTTGAACTGTTGACGCTACAGGAAGGCCCCAAAAAAAGATATGAGTAGAACAGGCTGTTCTGGAGGAATCGTTTTTACAGCAAGAATACGGTAATTGAACTGGACCAACTAATGAAGGCTTAGGTTGAGCAAAGAGACTTAGTTGTACCCTAAATCTTTGCCATGTTAACCAAACTTGTGTAGATAAAATGTTCCATTTGCCTTCAGGCACTCCAACGTACCACTTACCTCCAGTCAAAGCCCCCACTGGCACCAAGAAAAAGAGCTCCAAGCACTGCTTCCATTGTGGTAAAAAGACTGGGCTGGCCACCAGCTACGAATGCAGGTACACTTTTTAAATTCATGCTTACTGATCAACTTTACTTAAAAAAATTTAAAAAGATTTAATTTTATCTTTGACCTTGTTCACTTTGACTTCCTGCCATATCTTGAACAAAAATTATTTCTTGTTCTCCATCAAGTTACTAACTTTATCGAAATTGCCACCGTCCTACGGCACGAGTACATACTGTACTCTTCTCTGGGCCCTGCTTCGGGTGCTCGCATTAAATCTAATCTACAACAGCGAGTATCTTTTAACATTGATTATGTACTGAATCTGTAGCCTGAGTAATGTGTTTTATTCTATTTTTTTATTTATTTAACCTTTTTTTACACAGGTAGTCTGAGTCACGAGGACTCCTTTTCAACAGAGACCTGTTTTAGACAGACAACATATAGAGTACAGACAATATACAACAATATAAAGCTATTAAAATAAAAGTAGTGTTATACAAATAATAAAACCAAGCTGCCATATAAAACAACATAAAATACTGAAAACAAGAACATATATTTGCTTAGATTTTTATAATGACCTTATCACGTTTAAATTCCCTTAAAGCAATCAAAGTGGACGGCCTCAGATCTTGTTGCAAGCTGTTCCAGGAGCAGAGTAAGAAGAGGTCTTTGTACCGAGTTCAGTCCGTAGTGATGGAACGCTGCAGGTAATGATGGCCTGAGAGCGCACGCTGTAACTGCACTGACAACGTCACATGGGAGGAGATATAAGAAGGCAACAGACCAAGGAGGGATTTTTAGATGAACATGTACCAGTGTGAGAGCCTGTGTGGAGTTAATGATGACCAACTGAGTACAGATTGCAGTGATGGGTACGGTAGTTACAACCATTTATTAATCTTAGCACACCGTGATAGACAGCATCCAACTGGGCCTGTCGCGATAAACATGGTCAATTAAAATGAGGTTGATAATTTTAATTTATCTGGTTTATTTTTTCTTCATGTCTTTCTACTGAAGACACTGGATGACAAAAGGCTTAACTCCAGTACTCTTCACTGACCCCTCTCTAAAATGGGAGTTGGTTTCAAAGTCGAACTCAGCAGCAGCAATGTGGGAGCACTTCAGATTCAAACCAAACGACCAAGTTGAACCACTGAACCTTTGCGAGCCGGCATGTCGCATTTGTCATAACCAACCTGCACCTAAAGCACAATCATCCAAAGCAGTTCTCCCAGCTGGGGAAAAAAAACTACAACCGGTGGGCCGTCTATAGTGTGCACTTTTTGTTTATAAAACTTGACAGTTTTTTCCGTCTTTTCTATATAAAACTAATTATTAATATTATTGTTTGAAGGGCAGTTTAGTTTACAGACAATACAGATTATTTTAGTTGAATGTAGTTTTTAATTTCCTTTTTTTTTTTTTTTGGTAATATTTAGTTTTTATTCAAGTGCGTTTTTTTGTTAACGGAGACTGAGAGTCCATTTCATTTTTGTTTTTGGTTGTTTTGTTTATTTTGTGTTCCAGTTCCAGTGTTAAGTGTTCTTTTGAAATTAAAGTTTATTAATCTTTGAGAGGATGCACTTGCGTTATCGTGTCATTATCATTACATTAGTTTAAAACGGTCTCCAAACAATATTATCGTTTATCGTTATAATTTCTGAGATAATTAATCGCCCAGCAAAATTTATCGTGACAAACCCACATCCAACATCTGCGAGGAGCTGTCAGAGGCGTTCATGTAAATAATGTCACCATAATCAATGTCTGGTATGAAAGTTGCAGCTACAAGGTGTTTCCTAGCATTCAGAGATAAACGGCCTCGATTTCTGAAAGAGAAACCCAGTTCCCATTTCAGTTTCTTTATGAAGTTTTCAACGTGTGCTTTAAAAGAGACGTGCTTCAATTAAAATTCCCAAGAATTTGTAAGAATCCATAAACCCAATGCATGGATGAGATGGGAGGAAGGACTGCTGGCACCAACTTCCTGTTTGAAAACAACATCCCATTGGTTTTATCAGCATTTAGCACCAGTTGGAGATGGAGCAAGTCTGACTGGATTAGTTTAACAAATCAAAAAGATATTTGAAGTTTAACTTTGAAGTGAAGCTTAGAAAGTGAACAGGGATTGAAGTGACATTTATGCCCAGAAAAATGGTTTGATGGCTTAAAATAATGTTTGGCAATGGAGGAGCAATGTTGTTTATAAAGCTGCAGAGCGTATACGATAGATGAAACATCATTTATTTATTTTATTTCTTAACTACACTTTAAAATGTATTTCTTTCTTTCAGATGTGGTCACAACTTCTGTGCCGCCCACCGTTACGCTGAGACTCACGACTGCACTTACGACTACAAGACTGCTGGACGGCGGTTTCTGCACGAGACCAACCCTCTTATCAGCGCTCCGAAGCTGCCTAAGATCTAGACCCAACAACCCTCGCTGGTCACACGGGGCAAACTGGGAACAATGACAAGTCCAACTAACCCGATGGAAATAAGGTTCTGACACCACTGTGTCCTTTTTCTGAGAGAATCAGCCAAGTTTGCTTAAACTTTCAATAAATATTCTGTAAAATTAAGTGTGAACAAATGTCCTTTGTGTTTAACTAGCTGTTTTTGTATTTAAAAATTTGCATGTGCGTAGGTAGGTTTTACTAAATATATTTGCTGCACGTATTTTTTTTTTGTTTGTTTTTTTTAATATAGGGATTGCTGTTGACTTCATCTGACAAGTCTTTTTAACAGATGCACTTTAGAGCTATATTTATACATCTAACGTTTCTTCTTGACTGTAAAGGCTGCATACATTTCTGTGCTCATCTATCAAAGTGTCGATATTATCCAGATTTTTATATTCCGTGCTTCTAAACGCCTTTTCTTAACTGGGCACATACGTTGAAACATAACAAATGACGTTTTTCCTTTAACAGAACTGTACTGAAATGCTTAATATTTATTAATAACACAATTTATTTAAATTAAAGGTTGGTTTTTGAAATAGTAAGTATGCAATGTGTGTACGTGTGAATGTCAGTAATGTGTCCTTATTGAATAAACTATTAGGATGGGGTGGGGGGGTAAGGTCATGGTATTTGTGTCTATAATAAGGCAGCTGCCATAAAAAATGACTTTTCTTGGTTGTTTTTTTTTTTTTTTCATTTTTTTTTTATTTTATCTGCTCAGTTGTTGCAACAAAAAAAAAAGACTTAATGCTGGTTAAGTTTCTACAGGGGTTTAATCTAATAAAGTTTCTTGCCATACATGTGTTTTCTAGTCTTTGTTACATTTTACACTTGTCTAACATTAAGCATCTAACTGGAATTTTTTTGAGTTGATGTTGAAGGAAATTGTTGATTTCATCTTTTTATAAAAGAAAGCGCTATAATTTCTTCTGATTTGAAGTGTCCTCGAGGCTCGCAGTTTCTGTTCCTCATTACAGGCACGTCGAGGGCGTCACTTCTCACTCTTACAAGTTTTCCTTGAACTGCTGTGATGGGAAACGGTTTCTCCAAACTTGAGCATGCACTAAACCTGTCAACTGGAACTCCTTTCTTAAGCATTGCCAGAGGTGGCCATCTTGTCAGGTGCTTCCTTCATTAATGAGGTAACGATGGCAAACTCACCAGTCCACTAGCTTCATCTCTATTAACCGTATGTTAAAGGCAACAATGGATCAGTTTCCATGTACCAGTAAATATTAGATTTAGCCTATAGAACTTGAAAGTCTTTGCCATATTCGTGAACATTTAAAGGTCAAAGATCATCAAACTAACATGCTATGGGGATAATATAGTACCATAGTTTTAGTCCTCTGGAAAGTACAAGCGGCATTAGCTCAAAAGTGTTGTGAACATATAATTACTTGTGGAAAGTTTTATAACGATCTGTCCTGTGCTTCATGAGAGATTTTGCTAACAGACACACAAACAATCAATTTGCCTTGCATTGGCTGGCAATGCTTTTAAAGACCAATCATTTAGTTCTGACAGAACTTGAAGATTTTCCAATAAACAAACTTCACATTTGAAATTTACTCAAACTTTGAGATAGCAGTGTTTATAGTCTGTCAGGGAGGATGAGAATGTTTTCAAATGTGTATTTAAACTTTGAAATAAAAGTGAAGGCGCCACTTTATTATTCGCTCCTTCCAGCCTGAATGCTGGAGCCGTGCGTCAGACAAACCTTGACCTGAGAGACAGCTCTGCGTCTTCGTCTCCTCTGTCCTCCTCCATGCTGTCTGCCTTTGATCCACCATAATTGGGCAGAAGGTATCGCTGAAACGCTGCTGCTTTTCTCCAGGCACATAAATGCATCTCAACACGGTGGAGATAACTGTTTTTTTTTTTTTATTCCTCTGAATGTTTTTTTTTAAGTAATTCATGCTAATTTATGTCAAACTTCAAGAGAAGCCAGTAATGGAAGTGAGATTTTTTTTTTTTATCGTCTGTGCAAGTGGCAAAATATAATTTGGTTTGTGATCACATACCTGTATCAGTTTAGGGAATGATTTATGCTGAGTGGTCATCAAATATTATCCTGGCAAAGCCATCAACAAAAATGAGAACGTTTCTAAGAATCTACTTTTACAGGTTTTTATTGCAGCATGTTGGTGTGTTTGTTTGCAGACATTAAAGCGCTGCTGTTGGTTATTGCAGCCACCCCCACCCCCCCCCACACACACACACAAAATAACTCCTTTTTTTATTCTCTTAATCGTCAGCATAAGTGGAGACTTTGTTGGATTTCCAGTCTTTGTGCATTTTGTCTACTTTCAAAATTGCTGCGTCTTATTTACAGACTGAAATCTGTTTTATTATTGTGAACATTGTTTTTGGGGAAAAATGTTCCTGTTAACTGCAAGTTTAATTAGTATATATATATATATATATATATATATATATATATATATATATATATATATATATATATATAAGAAGTCTGACTGATCCTTAGTCTTAATCTTCAACAGGACAAGGAGTCTAAACATGCAGCCAGTGTCTTTATGATTTATTTTCAGCTTCAAGAAGAGCACAGATACCTGGGAGTGATGGTTTACATCACTTACATACAAAATCTAAGGATTTAACAGTGTTTTCCAGCTTTTGCAATCCGCTTTCAACATCATCCAGTCGGATTTGTTCCGTCTCAAACTTGTCCTAAATCTCAAACTTGTCCTAAACGCCAACAAAACCAAAGGGATGTTTTCAAACAGGAAGTCAGTCCCTGTAGTTCTTCTTTCAATTTTATCCTTGAAACGTGCTCCTATTGCATTTGTCAATTCTTTTAAGCTCCACGTGGAAAACTTGGTAAAGAAGCTGAAAGTTAAACTGGGTTTCTTTTTCAGAAATAGATCTTGTCTAATTCTGAATGCTAGGAAACACCTTGTAACTGATTGTAACCTTGATTCATAACTGGCTGTAACTACCACACCCAACACTGCACCCTGTATTTAACTGGACATTATTAACTTCACACAGACTCTCTCACTGGTATATTTTCATCTTTAAATCACTTCTTGGTCTGCTGCCTTCATACATCTCCTCCTACATGTCTCTGCGTGAGTGCAGCTACAGCGTGCGCTCTCAGGACATCATTACCTGCAGTGTTCCCTCAGTGAGGACTGAACTAGGCAAAAGAGCCTTCTCCTACTCCGCTCCTGTTTCCTGGAATATCTTACAAAAAGATCTGAAGCTCTCGACCTTGACCTCTCTAAGTGGCTTCAAACAATTAAGTTCGTGGCAAGAACCAATGCAGACATGTTCCTGTTTGTAGTTTTCTACATCGCCTTACAACCTAGCTGTTTTTTCTTACTATTTTTTAATACCATTTTATTTTCACTTGTTATTCTCAATGTGTACGCATCCTTTATGATTGTCTACTGTTGTCATCACTCTTTGTTAACATCAGGTCTCTCTTGTAAATGAGTCTCCGAGGCTCAGTGGGATTAACCTTTAATAAATAAAGGTTGAATGAAAAATTTGATCCAGACTGTGTTTACAGTAGATTTGTGAGTCGTTCTCCAAAATGTCTGGGACTATACTGAGTTCCTTGAAAACCTTTGTGCAGGTTGAACTGGTTTAATTCAGGCGTCTCTTATTGAAGTGTTGAACTTTAAAACTTGTTGGAAATAACCAAGCTGAGTCAGCATGCATCTGTGCGTTCAGGGCCGAGAGACGAGCACTACCTGTCTGGCAAGGTCGGAATTCCAAATAAGAAAGCAGGAAGGGAAGTGTGAGGAAAGTCGAGAGGGTTTTTATTAAAATACTTTCACTTTTAACCTCACCTCCTGACAGAACAACTGACCTGCCTGTCAACCTTCCATGTTAGCGTTTCGTTTCTTTCTCTCTTTTTGATTTGTTGTGAGGCCTGTTGACTGAACTTGTCAGACTCCTGTTACACCATCCAGTCCTGCCAGTCTGACGAACACGCCCGGCTCTAAGCTGCTCCAGGAGTAACTCTAGAGGTCTGTTGTTGGCCTATCAGCCGTGCTCAGAGGACTTTACTGAATGTGAGCGTACCCTCCTGTGACTGGTTTCTTTCTACTTTAACATCTGAATAGGCAAAAGGCTGTTTTAGTATTGAAGTAGAGAACTGCTGCTCTCATACCGCCTACATGTTTCATATTTATCACATGAATCTCCCAGTCATGCAGCGTGACACCCTGCTGTATCGCTCTGACGCAGAAACATGCATGACAATTTAAGGTGCCCACTCGTTCCAGACCGGGCACAGAAGCGCCCTTGTCCAGCCTTAAGGACATTGTGGCGGTCTGGGCACCAGTAATAAACCCAAACACAATGACAGGTCTCAAAGAGACAGAGCTGGGGCTCTGAGTCAGCAGAAGATAAGTGAGCCCCTCCCGACATAATGCACTGAGTAAAGGGCTCTCGGTGTGGAGTTACAGGACGTGTGGGGATTCACTTGAGTTAGCTGACAATACACTGCAGGCCATTCATAATTTGAAATAATGACCGAGCATCAGGGATTGTAAAGTCTGAAAAGCTTGTATTATATGTTTTATTTCCATGTTCAAACCTGACTAACTTTATAGTAAGGAATATATTGGAGGCCCGTTTTAATTATTGTGAATATGAACTGATGCCATTTAGAAGGTCTGCTATTGTCACTTCAAATCCAAAGTCACCTAAGCAGTCTGCAAGGAAGAAAACATTGTTTGCCCATGTGGAACTTTTTTGAACCATAACTACAAGTTGTAGCAGTGGTGCCTCCAGAAATGTTTTATTGGGGTGGCCATGTGGGGGTCCCTACACTGTAGCTCCTGAGGTGGCACACTAAATGTCAGAACAGGATTTCAGGAGCTATGCAAAGTTGTTGTTGTCTTGTAAAGGTTGTTGGTATGTTGATTGTAAATAAATGGATTAATAACAGCAATAGAGGTGCTAGGGAATCACCTTCTGATTTACACGGGTTTATGTTAGTTTATTTATTTACAGTTGATGATACTTCTTAACAAAAGCACAGTCATTACTCATGACACTGTATATATATATATATATATATATATATATATATA